AAATTAAAATAACTTATAATTTAATATTTTTAAATATTACAATTAATTATTTAAAAAATAATTATAAATAAATAAAATATTAATCAAACTAAATAATTTTTGAATACCCAAGTAAAATAGTTGTTGTGCATGACCAATACCCTAATAATGCTCCTTTTTTTTTCTTTTTTTTCTTTTTTTTTGTGAACAATATATAATTTTGGGAGATTGGTAAAAGGAAAATTTTAAAGTGTTAATAGGGTTCGAAACCCGATCAACTAATTCAAACGCCTCAAGTTAATCCAAATGCCTTAAAACTTGACAGCAAATCATTTAGGCCCAAAGACCTGGTGCGCTCTTTTGTCCTATTTAGTGATGTGGAATTTGATAGCTCAAATCACACGACGTTGGTGTTTTTTTTTTTTTTTTTAACATGAAAAATCATAAAGAAAAGAAAAATTTTTAAATGGAATTTTCTAACTTGTATCCTTAAAATACAAATTAAATCTTATTTAATGTAGTATTTATAATTAATTTGGCACAAAATTTCATAGCAAATTAATTAAAACAAAATATAAAATATGAAATTAAAATATAATATAATATTTATACCCTTTTTTAGGGAATATGGAATTTATATAAAATAAGAAGCAAGTTACATCAGGTAGATAAGGCATCCTTGAGGAGCAAAGAAAGCAGCAGATTAGGGGACCGATGTGCCCAGTACCATGGGCAATTTGGGCATTGCGCCCTTTCAGTGAAGATTTAGCCACCCAATCTGCTACTTTATTGCTTTCCCGTGAAACATAAGTGAAGAGAAAATTAGGATGGCCAATACATAGTTTTTTGATACTATAAATAACAGATTTTGCATCCCATGGAAGTGGTTTTCTAGGCTGTTGTATACCTGAAATTAAAGCCAAATTATCAGACTCAAAAATCACCTTATGAAGTCCCCTGTTTATAACATCCTGGACAGCTTTCAACAGTGCCAGTGCCTCGGCCATAAGAGGAGATAAAGCCAAACCAAAACCAGTTGTTGCCAAAACATATCTCACCATTCGAGTTGCGACCAACCATGGCTAAAGGCTAAAGCAGTAGATCTCGTATTTGGAGAAAAAGAAGGATCCACATTAACCTTAAGGAATCCTGGAGGTGGTTTGAGCCAAGAAGGCTGGTGCTGTTTGTCGACCACCCGGGGTCTAGGAGGGGGAACTAGAAGGTCTTTAGTTGTATGATCAGAATACTCTTGGATCGTGAGAGAAATTCGGGCAAGAACCCGATGGGGTGAGATGTCAGCATGTTCAAAGTATTTTTCATTTCTAGCCTTCCACACATGCCAACAAATGATTGCACACTGTTCAACCATAAAAGAAATGCACATTTGTTTAGTGAAATCATTTTTTTTTTTTGATCAGCAAAGTGAAAATCATATTATTGTAGGAGTATAAGAAATACTCCTTCATACCAGTACACTGTCAAACCGAAAATACAAAATCCAGCAGTAAACAAAATAAAGATTAAAACCCAATAACCCAAATACAAACCAAATAGAACTGAGGAATCATAACATGAGACGTTGTAGCTGCTTGTAGTTCTTCAAATCTTTACG